ACATTACAGGCTCTTGTGTTTTTAAATGTCTTGAAAGGAAACACTGTCATTAACATGAATAATCTTGGGGTCCCAGTGCTGTAGTTTCCTGGTCACACTTTGCCATCCCCTTGACGTGCTTGCATCTGTTAAGTAGCTGTACTTAACTTAATGTTGCTCCTCTCTCTGGTCATAATATTTATGTTTATGTTCATGCATTTAGCAGACGCATTTATCCAAAGCGACTTACAAAGTAGACACAATGTTACTGTTATCATTAATCTGACAATAAGCTCTCTAAGGAAATTCCCTAGTCAGAGTCAGTGGTGACAGTGAGGAGATAAAGGGAAGTACAGAAAGAGTAGTAGAAGGGGTATGGAGGTATGCATAAGAGTAAGGATAGGAACTCTTTGAAGAGTTACGTTTTTAGGAGTTTCCTGAAGATAGACTGTTCTTGTAGCACTTTGTAGGTCATTCCATCACCTTGGAACAACACATGAAAACAGTCTCGATTGTTTTCTGCCAGACGACAGTCCATTGATGTGAACGAGTTTGTGACAATTCCGCCATTTTATAGATTCATTTTGGCTTTTGTAGGTTTTTCCTTCCTATTTTAAGAGATCACTGAGTCCCCCACCTCCCCTCACCATCAATATTCAGATCTCAGCTGCCTTACTTTGGACACACATGGATTCCCCGCATTTTCTTAAATGACTGATAAATAGTGGGGATTCTTTGATTTTGAGATTGTAAATGTGAGAAGAAATCAAATTCAAAAGGTTGGCTTTTTAAATCGTGGCTGTTTTGGTCTTGTAGCTTCGTGATTTGGATTGCCTGGGGAAAACACAGATGCATACTTGGACACAATGAGATTCATATTGTCGCCTGATGTTTCATCCAGCTGACTGTTTGGATGGGAATGGATCCTCAGTGGACAAAACAGATGCTTGGCGGTAATTGCCTCGTCGAAAAATGATGAGGAGCCACAGCAATATGTGGGGTGTGACTTAAATTGGAAGCAGTGGAGGCAGACATCACACCATAGGAGATATGTCAATTTGAAGTTTTATTTAAATTTCTTTCAGCGCACACTGTGTCTGTGGGTCACCTTGTCCAGCTACAGAGTTACACTTCCAGCCCGAGTCTGGAGTTATTGTCTTCTTTTTTAGACAACATAACAGCTAATGTGCTTGATACAAAGTGTATCTCAGGATCATTTTTAACTCATGAGGTTGTAGTGGGAGTAGAGCTCTTGATCCTCAGTGTTGCTCTCGAAATTTAGATGCTCTACCTGCAGCCAAAATCAGTCAAGTCTTCTATTCAGAACGTCAATTCTCCCTACCTATCAAATCAAATCTACTTATTTGGCTTATTCTGCTCATGAAATTGTGCAGAAACATTTTCCAGCACCCCTATTGATAAAGGGCCCCACAGAGAAAAACGACAATACCCTAAATTTTACGTTGGTAGCCTTTGAACTGCATATGTCGCCAGACTGTGTTGACTATGCACAAAGGTTATTCTTCAATATAATGAAGCTTGCATCTGATTTGCAAAACTTGTGATGAATGCCGGATATCATTATGGAATTTCAGTCAATCAGAGGCATTAGAGGAGGGGGGGCAATCTCTCATCCACCAGAGAACACAGCTGGTGGGCACAGTTGTCTGGCTCCCAAGTCTAATGCCAAGAAGAAAGGCAAATCTCAGAGTATCTGCCGTATTGTGCCACATGCATAGCCATGCCAGATGGCTAGTCCATGATGCGAACCCCACCCTTACTTGTCAAAATGCCATGGCATTGGCTGGTGCAGGGCACGGTAAATCCCTCTATTGGGAGAAGCCCGCTTGCACCCATTCAGTTCCAATTACAAATCTCCAGTAGCACCCGAGGATTTGAGACCATCCAAATATGGCGATTACTCCACGGTTCCAGGAGGGGGTGAAGCTCAGAGTTGAGCTCTTCATTGGTATGCTCTGTTTACTCACTGTCTGTGTGTCCATCTGTTGATGTGGAGAACAGACAAGCGGGAAGCTTGGCTCACATTGTGATGATCTGACATTATCTTGCAGTTTCATGGCATTTCCAATCACTGGCAGTGGCAAAGGCTGTGGTGACAAATGACAGCATGCTAGTGACACAATGTTCAGGCACACAGTGGGGAGGTTAGAGGTTTCTTCAGTGTGTACTGTCATAAGACTAAAGACTTAAAAGTGATCTGACAATGTTCAGAAATCACAAGTTCCCACATTGTGTGGAATTCAGACAATATATTTACAAGAGGAAGCTTTTATTTTCTCCCATATTTCCTTTAAATGTGTCATCAGAGTTCATGAGCTTAGAAAAATAGAGGATAGATACTGCAGCCGGCATAAAACTGTAGTCTCTACCCCAAGAGTCCATTTGGAGCAGGAAGACCCGGGTGCAAAGGGACCCAGTCATTCTCCAGGACAATACACATTAATAGATATCAAACATGGCACCAAATAAACTATATAAGCTGTGTTTAACCTTTTCTGCATTTTCTTTCATAAAAATAAAATTATTTTTTGTGTGAAGCTCATTCTAGCACAGCATTTTGTCAGAAGGCTCAAAGCATACCAAAACAGTCTTAAATGTTTCTTTTCAGTGCAGCGTTGTTTGTTTGACCTCACATTTGGTTGAGCACTTAGCAGCTGATTTCAAGAATGTTTGGTCGCTTTTTTTCTCTTAAATAATTTTTTTTCATCTTTCATACACTGATGATTTCCACACAAGTCATTTTCAATAAAACAGCCTCAGTAATTACTTTAATGCTATCAGTATTTGTAAGTGATTTGCTGGTGTTCAATGCATGCCAGTTCTCTTCATTAAGTCTTTCTGAATTAAACAGAACAATGGGGATGAGTTTCAAAGTAAGTATCAGTTAAAAAAGGGGAAATAAAGAATTATGTTAACTGTGAAGCTTATGTTAGTTGTCTTTGTATCTCCTATATATCATATGTCTGACATTTTCCAAGATTATCAGACAGTTGTTAATTAGATTGCCATCTGTGCAAAAGAACAATGTATTTAAGAGGCCACCAGTCCCTCTGCTGTACTACTATTTTCCCTGTTCATTCTATATTACTATGCATTTCAATCTAAGGAAAAATCCCACATTACCATTTTTTTTTCTGTTTTTAAGATATTCTAAGAATATTCCAAAACCTTACGGCTTATGTTTGTGACGACCAATGAAATGTCTAGTTCATTGACGTTGTCATAGGGGTAAGAAATACTCAAGGACTCATTTCCTAAAAGGCTTTAAACACAGATGAATTCCGCACAACCCGGGATTGTGCGCATATATGGCAATTAGCATCACAACAAGATTTCTCTGTTAACAAGCGCTAATAACTGAGTGACATCCTGGGACTGAAATATTTAGAGGGAACACCATGGATCTCAATTGGATCCTTATTGGTGTCAGCGTGATCACTGTGGAGAATCCAACTCTTTATTTCCTGTTTTAAAATGAGAAATGGAATTTACCACTGCGTTCAAGCTTAAGTATGCACCATCCCATGTGACGCCACAGATTTCTGCTTCAAGCAGAATTGGACAGGGGAAAAATCATTATCATTACCTGACATCCCTCCAGTGAAGTGACTCCTTGGATTTCCCTTAAATTGACATTTTATAACGATATGTCCATCCACCCATCTATCCGTGAGCTGGAGCCTGTCCCAGCTGTCATTGGGCGAGAGGCAGGGTACACCCTGGACAGGCCGCCAGTCCATCACAGGGCATTGTAACATCTACATTCTGCACTTTAAAGTGCATTCAGCACAATAGTTTGGAGCGTTGTATCTTATTTGTTTGTGTTTTAGCAATGTAGAAGAAGAAACTTGCAGTTTTAAGAGCTGTTTTTAGGCAAACCAAAACATTTGACTGAATTTCTAAGAGAGGAGAGGACAGGTTTGATGTTTTAGTGTAACATTCAATTAGCTATTGAATAGATAAATCAGAACTTGGTACCTTGTCCTTTTGAAATGACCCATTCAAACTGCATATGTCTCTCGCCCAGTGGGATAGTTACAAAAGTCTACAGGGCCTCGCCAACCTTCTTTAATATGGAGTGTCTGATGGATCCTTGAGATGGATGGACAACAGTAAAACTATGAAAGCAATCAAAAATTCAACAGAACTTTTCCAATGAGAATAGTCAGTTTTAGAATATTGCTTTAAATAAAATGTCAAACATGTGAATGCAACTCATTTTTTATTGCTCTTGGTTGTGTTATTGTCAAGAACCACCAGGACTACCAGCAACAAAACATTAAAAGCTGACCATCTAGCTTTTTGTCCACTTTTAAATCTTTTTCACAACAGATAAATGGTTTTGATTCTTTAGAGCTGAATATTATCCTCAAATGAATATTAATAGCGTCAATTTTCGATTTTGTCACGTCTCCATGTAATCTCCAAAGTGGCCTCGCAAATATAATCTTTTCAGTTATTAATGATAAAAATAAGGCACCCAGAAAGATTTTCAGTCCTCTGAGTAGTTTTGTTCTCACCAAACTGAGATGTACTGAATTGAAATGCTGTTATTTACAATCATCAACCATGAATTCTGACTTGTGTTGTATCAGAGCAGAGCCGGGATTAAGGTGGCCTACGGTGAAAGGTTTAACAAGAAATCTGGGTCCAAACTGGAGAAGTCCATTACCAGACAGAATGTGACTTACAGCTGCGTGCTATAAATTCTCCATGGTCTCAATTGCTGCATTGTCCCCATGTGTCCATCAGCTCGTGAACATCTTTATGGCATCTGTGTCCCCGCGGGTGTTTTGCAGCTTTTTCATTGACAGGCAGTGTAATGATACCCAAAGGATGAGCTCCAGAGGGTATTGGTTCTGCCAAACACCAGTTACTCAGCGCCGGGGTGTCAGTAATCTGTCCCTCTGCGTGGCCTCTCCTCTCACCTGTCTGTCTCCGCCCGCTCGTAGTCTGCTCAGGGCCTCGGTCATCTGCATTTGCATGACTGTCTTTCTGGTATGTCATCTTTTTTGACAGGTTTAGCCAAGCCCATGGGGCTTGTAGAAGGACCTGGGGGGCTTGGCCAGGGGGGAGCGCCTGCCACTCTGGGAGAAGACAGTCGTGATGGAGAGGGAAAATACGAGGAGTACGGCTACAACGCTCAGCTCAGTGACCGCATTTCCCTCGACAGGAGCATCCCTGACTACAGGCCTAAGAAGTATGTGTGGATTTTTTTCTCCTTTATCTTATTTTTTCCTACAGGTGGTTTTGTGTGCTTGTGTAAAACCAGCTCTTATAATGTAAAAATGTAGGCTCCGGATATACAGCTCCCATAACTCTAAATGGTGCGTATACAAAACAGCATTATTTTGTGGTTGATGTTTCTCATCTCTGATGTTGCACTACTCTGCTCTGCTTTTATGCGACAAAAAAAAAAAGAACAGTTGTAAACTAGCATTGCGCTATGTGCGAAAATGGAAGTGAGGTGTGAGAAAAGTGTGAAATCCACTCAAACAAAGGGAATTTAGTCCCTTTTCTCTTGCAAGCCAACAATACCATATAATGTTTAATGTATCCCAGCACTTCAGTTTATTGGTTGATAAGAACTCAATGCAAGTTATGAATCTGTGTCCTTGTTTCCAAAACCCAAATGATGCCTCAACTGCCAACTGAAATGGCCAAAGAATTAGATAAACAAATATGAAAGCTCTTTCAAGGCGGTTTCACATATGTTTAATGCCCATGAAAGCAGGTCTTATATTTGGAAATTGATGTTTTACCATCTCGAAAGGTTTGTGTTAATCCCAGGGACTTTGAAGGAAATCCTCGAAATAAAAAAATTGTGGGCCTCAACATGTTGCAGTTGAAACGGTTCTGAAAGAAGTCAAAGGGTGTAGGGGACACTGGAGAGCATAATGGAATGTGCATGAGTGTAAAATGGAGGACAAAAGTTCATCTCCCATTTAATCCACCTCTTTACTCTCTATTTGAACTTCCCATTATTTGACAAGATTCTGGCAGTAAGAAATGTAAGATGATCTTTACACCTGTAAAAATGAAGAATCGTCTTTTTTCCATTAAAAGAAAATCCAGGTAATAAAGAAGCATCCAAGTGAAAAATGCAACACAAAAAATATCCACTTTTGTTGCTAAAAATCCAAGCTGAAACCCTGGATGAGGTTATTTTCAGGGTGACACGCAGTGATAATGATTATGACACATTTTGGTCATATGTATGAAGCTATTCCACTGTACAACATTTTTCATAGTGACACTTACAGATACTTTCATCTCCTCCATCTATTTCAAGACAGGGTCTCTGAAAAACTGTGAAATTCCTTTGGGTATCCCTCCGTCATCTAGTTCAATGCTTTTCATCTTTCACATCTGACTTATTGTCTGTCTCTATTTAATTCCTCCTCTTCTCCTCTGTCACTGTAGTTCAGGCAGTATGGCCACAGGGTATCTTAGGGAGTCGTCCATGTGGAATAGCACAAAAGCAAATTACTTTAGACATGCCCAATCCCAGCATGAAGGGATTTTGAGAAGAGGAAGGTTATAGTTGAGCTGTTTTTAATGTTGCAATAAAAAGGAATATGAAACTTGTTTTTTTTTCTTTTTTTGGGGGGGAAGTGTCCCTTCTGACACCTAGAAAGTACCTTTAATGGTCCTTTTTCTGAGAAATTTTAGATTTAAAATGTGAACTACAGCAGTGAGGGCTGCAGGGGTTTGGGGATAATCAGGGCTGCCAGTAGCGTTTATATTACACTGTGTCAAAGAACAATGGCAGCAGCAGGCAGAGGCACCGAGAGGAAATCTGACAGCCAAGAGGTTTCTGTGGGCTTTAGAGGGGATAACAATTCATTTCATCCATGCCGCTTTGTTCCGGGTTCTTTGTCACACCCAGAAAATTAGACACGAGTGGAATGGGGATGTGTGAGGTAAAAAGGAAATGCTAATTAATAAAGTCAGCCAAGAGTGTTTCTGGAATTTGAAGAATTTGAGGAAATCATCATTTCTTAAAAAGAGCAAGAAAGTAAAAAAAATCAAATGTTGCTGTTTGCACAGATAATCTATTGGGCCCATCTTCCCTGACTCTAAATCACTCCTTCTTCTTTACAACCTTCAATCTACAATTTCTATATTAATATAGATTGTTTTCTATCAAAAAAATGTTGCAACTTAAGTTTTTCACCTAAGAATAATTTTATGAACATATTCATTTCAAAGCGGGACTCAGAATATGAATGTAACATTTCCCTACATGTTGCCACTATATCCTGTTAATCTTTTGGGGTAATTCATGGCCTGACCTTTTCTGGTGGGTCTGTCCTCAGGTGTGTGCTACGAGCCGAGATTAATGGGCGAGCCACATAAGTTGATCCTAGAGTCACAGGTTATTTGGTCTCATGAAGGTGGCTCTCTTTTAGACTCACTCGATTAAAATGCTAACCTACGTTGTAATCGTGACCTCCGTGAATTAACTCTGTTTATTTTTTGTAAAGGCCACCTATCAAACTCTGCTTTAGCTGGCATTTACTCTTTATGTATCCAAAACACAAAACATTCATTAAACAACAGAAACAAGTAAAAAAAAAAAATGACAATGCCATAAATAAACTTTAATTAACTGTTGCTTACTGGGTGCTTGCTTTTGTTAGGTTTACCGTTTGCTTGGATAATGTATCTGTAAGCTTTTGATAGGTTCTGTTAAAGACTGAGTTCATATTAAGCCCCTCTCCCAGCCTGCATACCATATTGACGTAAAACAGTATTGATCCACTGTGTTCCTGATAACTAACACAGACGCAAACGTATACAATTTCAAGGTTAAAGCGAATATTAGCCCTTTTGAAAGATCCTAACAGGATAAAAAGATATTCTGGCAGGTGGGACTGCATTGATTTTAACCACTCGGTATCATCCAAGAATCTCTTGCAAGATTATTGGTTCGAGTATGAGTAAATGAACAGAAATAACATTAACCATTATCTGTCACAGCAACCTATCTTATCCAGTACCTTATGGTCAGTTGAGACTGTCACAAATAACTCCAATACAGATGAAGTGCATTGCAACCGCTGAAAATCCACACGTTTAAGCTCCTCCTTTATTCATTCTGCTGTCAGCAGCAAAAACCAATTCAGGATAATAACTGCAGCAATTGTGGTTTCAACAAAAGCCTTTAATCCCCATTCATCACCTTTTTCTGTATTTCTCCCCGTTGCCCTTCGCTTCTGTAAGTGACATTCTTAACTTGGATACAAAAGGTCTTAAGAGCGATCCGCGTTGCTGTCGTTCTGGGGCCTGGCATTGGACGTCCTTTTTGAGGCTTATGCAGGATGATGCTGACTCATTTGGCCACGGAGGGGTAAAACAATAAAGGCAGGAATGTTTACGGGATTACGAATGCCCCGCAAAACAAACTCAAAGGCTTCAAATGCAGCTTGTGTCACTCAAAAATAGAGAAAAAACGCAATTTACCACATCCAACCGGCGTGTCACCTTTTGGTCCTCCTTCTTGAAGAGGATTCCTATTCACTTACGTCTAATCTCACCTCTATCTCCATTGTCGCTCCCTCGAAGATTTGATTTCTGTTTTGTCAAAAACACAAGTTAAGTCCAAAACTGTACTGAAGAGCAGCACACGCTCCGCTCCCCTGAAGACCCGTGGTCTGTGTAGGTCTGCCTGTGGGAAGGCGATAACCAGCAGAAGAGGCTGAGGAAACGAGCTTACCTCATCTCCTAAGTGCCTGACACTGCAGAATGGGATCATAAGGTCTCCGCGGAGCAGAAACTCCCGCCGCATATTGTTGCTCTTTCCAGTTTTAGAGTTTATCTCTTGAAATGGGAGAGTGTATTGGGGGGGGGAGGGGGAAAGTAGGTGACAAGGCAAACGGTTATCTTTCGGGGAGAGGAGAGGCGCTCACAGATTGGAAAGTTGCTTTGGTGGTGTCTGCCCCGCACAGGTTAGGGGAGGTTAATGTGAAATTTTACAGCAAATAAGAGCGGCCAGCGGGGAAAGAGTCAGATGGAGTGACTGGGGCTGCAGGCTGTTGGAGGAGGAGGAGAAAGGGGGGGGGGGGAGGTGTGATAGGAATACATCTTAATCTAGCACTCTGTTTCTGTCAAAGCTTGTTCCGGATCAAATTATGAGAGCTGCCCAGTGAGCTCAGTCCCATTACTAACAGATGAGTCGCTCGCTCATCCTGTTACGGCTTTACAAGGCTCTCCCGCTACTGTAGACAGGTACGGATTTAAGGTTGAGTGATGCTTTAAATTGGATCCCATAACGAGGGCAATGGAACTACAATATCACTTTATGATCTCAACGCTGAAATCTACTCTCGCACCTCTTTTCAACCAGTAGCAATTCAGGCTCCTTTGCCAGTGGTGACATTTTGAAGACATCACTCTGGTAAAAATTCATCAAATGCAGCCTCCTCATCAGCTGTATTACTGAAAAGGGACTGATTATGCATTTCTTTTTAATTTTTTTCCTTTCTTTTTATTTTTACACCGTTGCCATGTCATAACTCTGTCGATGCAGTGGAGCTGTAATGCAAAAAAAAAAAAAAAAATCCTCTATGGAGCTCGCTGCCAGATTTGTCTTTGTATTTATAGACCTGGCAAGTCTGATTGAGAGAGGCAATACAGAAAACTCTGAAAAGGAACACAGAGTGGCTGAGGGGAAGTATAAACAAACGGGGAAAGACTGAAACAATACGACGTCGTAGGGTATCAATCAAAAGGCTTGTATTTTTATGCCAGCGAGAAATGGAAGGAGAGCTGAACCTAAACTATAGGTAGACAGATGCAGTTGTCCTCCATCACAAACCCTCTCTGTGGTTTAGTTTCCCTTTTATTAGCTCTGCTGTCAAATGAATGTGGGCTGTGGTAATGGAAGTGATTGATAACAGAGCATGAAATTAAGCTTTCCCTCTTCAGAGCTGCAAATACCTCGCTGCCAGTGCGGGGAGGCTTACAGATTATCATTACCACACATGAAGAGAAGTCAATATTTGGCTGCAGCATCTTGTAAGAAATCACACAACTGAGGTTGAACGCTTCTCAATAATTTGTATCAGTGTGAAGAGCTTCATTGTGAAAAAACAGTAAAAATGAAATATGTGCAAGTCAAAAAGGAGGGTCCCCCAAGATTGATCAACATGTCCTCAAATGACTAATAATCATAACTACTAAATATACGTTCTGTGGATTTGAAGTGGAAACACATGATCATTCCCAGTAGACACTCCATCTAGAAATAACTCCTGAGTCTGTCAAATTCAGAGAGAGGATTTAACTAAACTGGACCATGTACAAACCATGGTTTGAATGGTGTATTTGTCTCTTCCATCTCCATTTTAAATGTGCACACACGCGCTTATTCAAACTCCGACCAGCGCATGTGAACATTTTTTAGATGGGAAATTTGAGATGCAGATACGGGGTAGTGAACTGAATTCATTTAGTCTTTAATCAGCGCTGTCTCATTAAACTTCCAAACCCCGAGGCGCAGAAGAGAGGCTGGTCTGACACTCAGTCAAATGTAAAACTGCAGCTGCTTAAATGTGGGATGACACAGGATGTAACAGGATTTAGGGAAGTGCGTCTCATCTCCCCATGATATTGAGCATTAGCCCAACTGGAAAGAAGAACAGATTAAAGAATGATCGGTTATGAAAATGTGGAAGAACTGCAGACATTCTTCAAGTCTTGTGGAACATATCCATTGATCATTTTCAGTATCTTATTGTTCTGTATACATTCAAACAAGAATATTCTTGTCATGTTTTGTCTGAGACCATGTCTCGAAATAACACAGCTACGGAAGGAGCTAAAATCGTTCATGTTAATTTACTTATGAATCTTCTCTTTCACTCAAAACTGCCACACTGCCAATGGCACAGATAGCAGAGAAAACATGAGGAGCCTTAATAAACTACCAGGTGGCCGCAGAGTCATTGTGAGAAATTGTGCCTTATTTTTATTTTTCAGGCAAGACGTTCTGTCAGGAGCCGTCAATTAGGAATCAAACCAAACTGCATCAGCTCGTAGAAGGAAGAGTATAACTAAGTGCAAAGCTCAAGTTGGGCTATGATTTAAATAGACAAATTAAGTGATTTCCCATTTTAGAGGACTCAACATAGCTCAAGTCCATCCTTTCTTTGACTTTCATCCTCTTATCCGCTCTTTTTTTGGGTCAATCACTCTGTTAGCAATAAATTTTGATCCTGCTGCTCCGGGTGGCTGATTGAAGGACACCGGGGACAGAAATAGTCTGAGGGTCTGCAGCACTTAATCCCTGTCCCTGCTCTCTGTCTTTTCCTGCATTGCTTAATTTTGCTCTCCTTGAAGCAATCAGGTTTTAAGCCACCAAATGTCTGTCTGAAAGTAAACTTTCACATTTACATTTACATTCATCTCAGTTGCAATTTTCTTTAACAGAGTCTTGGGCTTTTTTTTCTGTTCATGCTTGTGACGGCCCTGCTGTGCGGTCCTGTATGTATGTGTGCTATTATCA